TAGCCGATCTAGATCGAGATCACCCCGCAGACGTTCGCGAAGGCACAGCTCGTCACAGGGAGGTTCGCGAAGAGGTTCCAGAGACGTTCGCGAAGTGAACGCTCCCACGACAGACGTTCGCACAGGGAGGAATCATCAGCTGCAGGTTCGCGAACCCAGGATGAAGGTTTGTGAAGGGATACAGGCTCACACAGAGAGACATCAACTAGACACAGCTCCTTGGCTCAAGACATTGCGTACTCCGTCTTCTCAGACTCGTAGTAACGGCTTGGATTGCTAGCGGGTTAAGCCTAGAGTCTCCCTCTAAAGATAGGAACGATGTTGACACCTACTTGATGAAGGATGATGACTTCGACTCCGTCACAATCCCACCGATCGAGCCTATATCCAGCGTACCAGACAGCCTGCGCACAGCCTTCGCGAAGGCTTCCAAGTCCCAGACGCAGCAGCTACCATCTTTTAATGAGAGGAAATTCCCCCTACATCACCTGGAACCATTTGTGAAGGCGACGGAGTGGGACGACAACATCAAGCTGGTCAATGATGCCAAGACTAGCAAGATCTAGAGCCATCAACGAAGCGTTGATACAGAAATTCCAGAATTCCACTACGGAAGAGGATAAAATGATCTACTCGGCCCTCGTCACACAAAAGAAGGACCAGTTCTTCTTATCGGACCACCTCACAGCTATTTCAGCGGGAATCACCTTAATACGTAGACAGGGTCTACTGGCGTCCTGCTCCTGGAATGACAGATTTACGCAGCCGTTACTACGAGCTCAGTGGGAGGCGCCTACCATCTTTGGAGGTCTATTGGACGATGCAGCCAAACAAGCTACACAAGACTCCAGAGAGGTGATGATGATCAAGACCATAGACACCTTGGCCAACGTCATTCGCCATACATCCCCGAGATACAACAACAAGTCTAAGTACGCTGGGATACAGAAAGCTAAAGACAGAAAGTACTCCAGCTCCAGAGGCGGGAAGGACTCTTTTAAAGTAAGCCCTTCAGGCAACTACAGAGGAAACTCAGGAAGAGGCCGTGGCCCCAGAGCTTCCAGAGGTACCAGGCAGCTGATGCCAGGGGGTCGAAGCGACTGGAGTCTTCCACCCCCAGCCGTTCCTGTAGAACTATCGACAGTGGGTGGATGTCTACAAAGGTACTGGGAAAACTGGTGAATTTTAAGAGACGACTACGCCTCTCAAGTACTAAGAGAAGGGTACAAAGTACAACTGAAAGATGCTCCTCCGTTAACCCTCAGCCCGATGGTCTTCAAGTACGCAGAGGAGCAGTCAGACAGATTACAAGAAGCCATCAACGCACTTCTCTCAAAAGATGCAGTAGAGATAATAGACCAGAATCATCTCACCCCAGGCTTCTATTCCACAATTTTTCTAGTACCAAAGAAGAACTCCTTAGAGAAGTTCAGACTGATTTACAACATGCGCAAATTCAACAGAGACTATCTACTGAAACCAGAGAGGTTCAGCATGATCCACCTACCTCAACTGAGACAACTCGTCCGTCCAGCAGATTACATGGCCAGCATAGACTTACAGGATGCGTACCTGCACATTCCGATACAACAAGAATCAAGAAAGTATCTTCGAATCCTGTTCAGAGGGCAACACTACCAATGGAGCGTGCTACCGTTTGGAATATCTTTGGCCCCGTGGCTATTCACACGAATAACCAAGCCTATGGTCGCATACCTTCATCAACGAGGTCTACGCAATGCCTTCTACCTGGACGACGGGATTCAGGTCCACCAAGATGCAAGTCTACTCAGACTACAACTGAACTTCACGATCAAGTTGCTCACTCAACTGGGATGGTTGGTGAACCTAAGGAAGTCAGAATTGGAACCGAAACAAGATCTACAATTCCTGGGGATAAGATTCATCACTACAGAGAATCGTGATCGTCGTCCCCAGAGGATCGATGGGTCAAGATACAAGCCATGATTCGCCAGCAGTCACCTCTCCGTTAACACTACGATCATGGCAAGTTCTACTCGGTCTACTAACCTCGGGCGCAAGACTTGGCGCACATAGGAAGGTTACAGCTAAGACCGCTACAAGCGGTTCCTCATAAAGCATCTGGACAGTGTCGACCCGATCCTGCTGCGGCCAGAAAACCTCAAGAGGTATCTACTATGGTGGACACACAGGTCGAATGTCTGCGAAGGAGTCTATTTACAAGAGCGACGCCGAGAGACACACCTCACGCGGATGCCTCGTTGCAAGGATGGGGAGCACATCTCAGCGATCAAGTAGCGTCAGGAAAGTGGTCTCATACAGAACAAAAGCTCCACATCAATCTACTAGAGATGAAAGCAGTGATCAGCGCCCATTACAACTATGGGCGAGCTTGCTGAACAACAAGATGTTGATGATCCACACAGACAATTCCACAGTGGCGTTCTCTATAAATCGGCAAGGGTCCACAAGATCACCAAGCCTATTGCAGCTCACATTCCAGTTGTTCCAGATCATGAAAGCAGACATCTGGATAAAGGTGTGTCACATACCGGAGCCAAGAGCGTACTAGCAGGCGGCTCTCTCAAGACCACTACACCCATCACCAACGGAATGGATGCTCCATCCGAAGCATTTTGAACATAAGGGAAATAGCATTCCCTTCCATAGACCTGTTAAGCGCCACGAGGTTCAACAAACAACTGCAGACGTTCGTCTCACCAGTTCCAGATCCTCAAGCCTGGGCAACAGATGCACTGAGCATGTCGTGGGAAGGACTAAACGGCTACGCTTTTCCACCCCCGATACTACTGCCAAAAGTACTGATCAAGATCAAACAGACACAGACGCTCCAACTGACTTTGGTCGCGCCTTACTGGCCAGCAAGAGCATGGTTTCCAGATCTACTAGAAAACCTAGGAAGCCCAGTAATCAAGCTTTCAGATTGGCCGAACCTACTGATACATCCGCACACCAAGCAAGTCCACAGGAACCCAGCAGTGTTCCAGCTACACGTGTGGACCATTTCAAAATGTGTTTAAAGAAAAGAGGATACTCCGCCAGAGCAGCCAAAGCAGTAACACTAGCGTTACGCAGATCAACTCGCAACTTATACGACGATAAATGGCTGAAGTTTGAAACTTACGCAAGGCGGAAAGGCTTCACAGCGGTAATAGCTACGCATCCTCAAGTGGCGGACTATCTATGTCATCTGAGACAGACTAGACATCTAAAAGGTTTGACTCTATCGACTTACCTGGCCGCTATCAGTACAGTGATTACCATGAAAACAGGCATCAAGTTGACGAAAGTACCAGAATTACTTGCCCTACTGAGATCATTCAAGTTGGAAGACCAACAAAAGAAATTCAGAGCCCCAGCCTGGGACCTGAATGTAATTCTGCGTCATCTTACCAGTGATGACTACGAACCACTAGACCAGATCACGATCGAGCTGCTAACACAGAAAACGCTGTTCCTGCTAGCGTTAGCCACTGCAGCTCGCATATCTGAGATACATGCGCTGGACTACGGTCGAACCAGATTTCGACAGAGGGCATAATAATACAGTTCATCTAGGACTTAGATGGGACTTTATTGCCAAGAATCAACTACCTGGTCAACCAGATAGACAATTCCATGTACCAGCGCTGTCTACAGTCCTCGGCCCACAAGATATAGAGGACTTATCCTTGTGCCCAGTCAGGGCCTTGAAGATATATCTTCAAAAGTCTAAGGCGAGGAGAAGGAAATTCAAGAGCCTATTCATCCCATTATCAACTGAGACATCAACTGAAGTCTCAAGAACGACCATATCGTTCTGGATGAGAGTCGTCATATTGAGAGCCTACAAAGCAGCAGGACTAGAACCTCCTAGAGCTTCCAACCCACACGAAGTGAGAGCACTGGCGTCAACACTAGCTCTACACGGAAATTGCTCTATAACGACAATAATGGAGGGCTGTTTCTGGAAGTCGGACACGGTGTTTGCCAACCACTACCTCCGAGACATAGCCATTGAAGATGTCTCAGGCATTCACCAATTTGGGCCTCTCATTGTAGCACAGCAACTAACGGTTCCTCAAAGGCGCTGAGTTGAAATCTCACCCTTTATCACCTAGACTTGTAGATGACTTTTACTAGGAAAAAGTATTAGTTTGAAAGTCCATGCGCACAGTCTAGGACAGACTAGCATGAGTGATTAAGATCCTGTGCGGGTAACAACCTAACCTGCACATGAAGGGATCGCAACTCATTTATGATAAAGATCTTATCATAATCCATGGGTTGTTATAAGATATCTAGTACAGGAGAATACTAGTTTATCTAAAACCACATGAATCAACATGATTCAACTTGTCTGAGATTGAAGTAAGACAAGAAGTGGTCCCCCCGAGTTACTATGCAAGTTGGAAGAATAGGACCACGGAAATGCCGCTTGCAGTTCCCATGGGGGGGATACAGGACATATCTAAGGACAGCTGTTGAATCCAGTGGCTTGACCCACCACCTATTCCGACGGATTCTATAAGCAAAAGATCATGAGTCAGGATAAGGAAAAATATGTAATTTTTTAAGTAAAATTGATATTTTATACTTATCCTGACTCATGACGAACAAGCCCTCCCAACCTCCCCGTTGAAGACACTTGCGATTTCACAGCAGATCCAAGTGCATGGGCGAAAATTATAAGGAGAGAGTGACAAGTCTGGACACGTCACATGGTACGTTTGCGCGGGAAAGAGGAAGGGAGGTAACTCGTGGGTGAGTATTGTACGTCCGCTTCGGGAACTTCAAAGGGATTCAAGTGTTCCACTACCATTCGAAAGGGAAAGGGAGATAAGCAAAAGATCATGAGTCAGGATAAGTATAAGATATCAATTTTACTTAAAAAATTACATTATCGTGATGCACAACTGTGTGATGTGCCTGGTATCTTGAAGATGCACTTGTATCACAAAGGTAATGTCTTTTATATTGATGACTGCCAAATTCACAGCTATTTTTCTCTATTGCAGGTATGCAGTCCACAACAGCAAGATAGGCTTCACTCTGAAAAAGGTAAGTTGTTAGAGACATGGAATTCAGTTGATGTATTATACAGATTTCAAATATTTTCTATTTCTGACATGTTAGAACTCCTATACACTGAATGATGTTGTGGCGGGACTGATCCACACATTGATAGTACTGTTGATAGTACAGATCAATCATTAATTCTCCTCTCTGTAACACAGATGCTCTATGTTGAAACACATTGTTTAATGTCAGCCACCAGCTGGGAGGCAAGTTCACACAGGAGCAGTCAGGCGTTGCCATGGTCAAAGAATTTAACACTGCCTCCTTGGAAGATGTTACTTTGCCAATTTCTACTTTTAAAGAAAACAGTGTTGACTGGTATCTACTTTTCAGTGCCTGAGGTGTTTCCAAACTTTTAAGTTAGTGTGATTCATGACAGTAAAGAGCTTCCTCCTCTAGAAACCACAGGGCAAAATCCCATGTTCAAAGTTATATTAAACCACTCATTCATGATAGTGTAGGTTGTGAGCAGAAAGGCAGAAGACTATCCTTCCCTCACTAGTTAATTGTCAGCAGGACAAATATTTTATGGCTGATTCATCTGCTCTTGGGTGTCTTTCACCTCATACAATGTGTTGACATCCTCCTGGCATGGAAACAGACTAATTGGGTACATCACTAACCCAGTCACAAGGCTCTCGTATTACTGCCATTCTCGGTAACAGGCCAGACAAGTTACTGGTAATCAGTCAGTACTGACTCTCTAGGACACAACTCCCTTGCTGTCCTGTATACCATTCAGCAACTTGACATTACCACCTGTGTTTAGACAATATCTGGGGTAAGTTTCCTTCAGTCAGTGAGCATAAACATGCCAAATTCTTGTTAAATTTGATTCCCATAAGACACATCTCTGCTTGAGGTTTGATCATTCTGGGGAGGAATGTTGATACAATACTTCTTGTCCAGTATGCTGTATGTCAGCAACATGCTGCAGGGTCTGTGAAAGGATGCTTCGAGGTTGCCAGCCAGTTGGGCTAGCTATGTCTGAAAGTTACAAGCCCACAAAATAATTCACTGCCCCAAAATTTGAATGTAGAAACTAATCAAGAGATTACAAAAATAGAGGAGAATAAGACGTGTTGGCATGACACGGGTTTCATCATGAAGCTGCTAATATGATGAACATTTTTATCAGACCATGATCTTGCATGATTTAAAAGTGTATTATAACTTAACAAGTCAGAGACAGTGATATATTTACTAAATGACCCCATGAAAATTCACTAGCCAAGTGGGCCAGTGACTGGAAATTTACTGGCCCGACTGTTTTTTTACTAGCCACGGGCTAATTGACCAGTGGCTATTTCGTACACTGAATAGGAGGGTGAAAAACTAAAGGCAATAAAACACAAGATTCACTTCAATGTAACGGACAGAAAAGAGAATATGTACAAAATGTGTCTGATGAGATCTGTGAAATGAGTCTAATTTCCTTCTTCCAAATACTAAACCTTCCTTCCTGAACATTTACTTTTTGTGAAGACGTTAACCGTGTGTGTGTGTGTGTGCGTGCGTGCATGTTTGTGTGCACGCGCATCACTAAAATGTTGCTTACTGCGTTATTTCATGCCAGTTTTATCTGGCCACAACTCCTCCATAGTTAAGTGTTTCAATATAACTGACACTCCATTTACATAACTTTTGGCTGGATTCTATGTTTTCAGCATGGTGAAAGTATGGCTGATGTACGCACTCCTGTCAACTCAAATCATGTTGATAATATCCGGACAATCTTCGGAGCCTCAGTTGCAAGGTATGATTGCAAATTTAACTTATTTCTCATGCTATGAAAATGATATGTTCTGGTATTGTGCAGATATTTAAATGATTTGACAAGACTTGTAACATGTTGTAAATGTATGGTTTCTGTAGTCTACACTCCTTCCATGGCCTGGTGGCCGTGTCCTGTAGTCTACACTCCTTCCATGGCCTGGTGGCCGTGTCCTGTAGTCTAGTCTCCCTCCATGGCCTGGTGGCCGTGTCCTGTAGTCTAGTCTCCCTCCATGGCCTGGTGTCTGTGTCCTGTAGTCTACACTCCCTCCATGACCTGGTGTCTGTGTCCTGTAGTCTACACTCCTTCCATGGCCTGGTGTCTATGTCCTGTAGTCTAGTCTCCCTCCATGACTTGGTGTTTATGTCCTGTAGTCTACAGTCCCTCCATGACTTGGTGTTTATGTCCTGTAGTCTACAGTCCCTCCATGACCTGGTGTCTGTGTCCTGTAGTCTACACTCCCTCCATGACCTGGTGGCCGTGTCCTGTAGTCTAGTCTCCCTCCATGGCCTGGTGTCTGTGTCCTGTAGTCTACGCTCCCTCCATGGCCTGGTGGCCGTGTCCTGTAGTCTAGTCTCCCTCCATGACCTGGTGTCTGTGTCCTGTAGTCTACACTCCCTCCATGGCCTGGTGTCTATGTCCTGTAGTCTAGTCTCCCTCCATGGCCTGGTGTCTATGTCCTGTAGTCTACACTCCCTCCATGACCTGGTGTCTGTGTCCTGTAGTTTACACACCCTCCATGACCTGGTGTCTGTGTCCTGTAGTCTACACTCCTCCTCCATGTGTCCTGGTGTCTACACTCCCTCCATGGCCTGGTGTCCTGTCCTGTAGTCTCTCCCTCCCTCCATGGCCTGTGTGTCCTGTGTCTAGTCTCCCTCCATGGCCTGGTGTCTGTGTCCTGTAGTCTACTCTCCTCCATGGCCTGGTGTCTGTGTGTCCTGTAGTCTACACTCCCTCCATGGCCTGGTGTCTGTGTCCTGTAGTCTAGTCTCCCTCCATGACCTGGTGTCTGTGTCCTGTAGTCTACTCTCCCTCCATGGCCTGGTGTCTGTGTCCTGTAGTCTACACTCCCTCCATGGCCTGGTTTCTGTGTCCTGTAGTCTAGTCTCCCTCCATGGCCTGGTGTCTGTGTCCTGTAGTCTACACTCCCTCCATGGCCTGGTGTCTATGTCCTGTAGTCTAGTCTCCCTCCATGACTTGGTGTTTATGTCCTGTAGTCTAGTCTCCCTCCATGACCTGGTGTCTGTGTCCTGTAGTCTACAGTCCCTCCATGACCTGGTGTCTGTGTCCTGTAGTCTACACTCCCTCCATGACCTGGTGTCTGTGTCCTGTAGTCTAGTCTCCCTCCATGGCCTGGTGTCTGTGTCCTGTAGTCTAGTCTCCCTCCATGGCCTGGTGTCTGTGTCCTGTAGTCTAGTCTCCCTCCATGACCTGGTGTCTGTGTCCTGTAGTCTAGTCTCCCTCCATGGCCTGGTGTCTATGTCCTGTGTAGTCTCCCTCTCCCTCCATGGCCTGGTGTCTGTGTCCTGTAGTCTACTCTCCCTCCATGACCTGGTGTCTGTGTCCTGTAGTCTACACACCCTCCATGACCTGGTGTCTGTGTCCTGTAGTCTACACTCTCCTCCATGACCTGGTGTCTGTGTCCTGTAGTCTACTCTCCCTCCATGGCCTGGTGTCTGTGTCCTGTAGTCTACACTCCCTCCATGGCCTGGTGTCTGTGTCCTGTAGTCTAGTCTCCCTCCATGGCCTGGTGTCTATGTCCTGTAGTCTACTCTCCCTCCATGACCTGGTGTCTGTGTCCTGTAGTCTACACTCCCTCCATGACCTGGTGTCTGTGTCCTGTAGTCTGTAGTCTACACTCCCTCCATGACCTGGTGTCTGTGTCCTGTAGTCTAGTCTCCCTCCATGGCCTGGTGTCTGTGTCCTGTAGTCTAGTCTCCCTCCATGGCCTGGTGTCTGTGTCCTGTAGTCTCCATGACCTGGTGTCTCCCTCCATGGCCTGGTGTCTGTGTCCTGTAGTCTAGTCTCCCTCCATGGCCTGGTGTCTGTGTCCTGTAGTCTAGTCTCCCTCCATGACCTGGTGTCTGTGTCCTGTAGTCTAGTCTCCCTCCATGACCTGGTGTCTGTGTCCTGTAGTCTACACTCCCTCCATGACCTGGTGTCTGTGTCCTGTAGTCTAGTCTCCCTCCATGGCCTGGTGTCTGTGTCCTGTAGTCTAGTCTCCCTCCATGGCCTGGTGTCTGTGTCCTGTAGTCTAGTCTCCCTCCATGGCCTGGTGTCTGTGTCCTGTAGTCTAGTCTCCCTCCATGGCCTGGGTGTCTGTGTCCTGTAGTCTAGTCTCCCTCCATGACCCTGGTGTCTGTGTCCTGTAGTCTACACTCCCTCCATGGCCTGGTGTCTGTGTCCTGTAGTCTAGTCTCCCTCCATGGCCTGGTGTCTGTGTCCTGTAGTCTAGTCTCCCTCCATGACCTGGTGTCTGTGTCCTGTAGTCTACACTCCCTCCATGACCTGGTGTCTGTGTCCTGTAGTCTAGTCTCCTCCATGACCTGGTGTCTGTGTCCTGTAGTCTACTCTCCCTCCATGGCCTGGTGTCTGTGTGTCCTGTAGTCTAGTCTCCCTCCATGGCCTGGTGTCTGTGTCCTGTAGTCTAGTCTCCCTCCATGGCCTGGTGTCTGTGTCCTGTAGTCTACACGCTCCCTCCATGACCTGGTGTCTGTGTCCTGTAGTCTACACTCCCTCCATGGCCTGGTGTCTGTGTCCTGTAGTCTAGTCTCCCTCCATGACCTGGTGTCTGTGTCCTGTAGTCTAGTCTCCCTCCATGGCCTGGTGTCTGTGTCCTGTAGTCTAGTCTCCCTCCATGGCCTGGTGTCTGTGTCCTGTAGTCTACACTCCCTCCATGACCTGGTGTCTGTGTCCTGTAGTCTACTCTCCCTCCATGGCCTGGTGTCTGTGTCCTGTAGTCTACACTCCCTCCATGGCCTGGTGTCTGTGTCCTGTAGTCTACACTCCCTCCATGACCTGGTGTCTGTGTCCTGTAGTCTACACTCCCTCCATGGCCTGGTGTCTGTGTCCTGTAGTCTAGTCTCCCTCCATGACCTGGTGTCTGTGTCCTGTAGTCTAGTCTCCCTCCATGACCTGGTGTCTGTGTCCTGTAGTCTACGCTCCCTCCATGGCCTGGTGTCTGTGTCCTGTAGTCTAGTCTCCCTCCATGGCCTGGTGTCTGTGTCCTGTAGTCTACAGTCTCCCTCCATGGCCTGGTGTCTGTGTCCTGTAGTCTACACTCCCTCCATGACCTGGTGGTGTCCTGTAGTCTACACTCCTGTAGTCTCTCCTGTAGTGTCCCTCCTCCATGGCCTGGGTGTCTGTGTCCTGTAGTCTACACTCCCTCCATGGCCTGGTGTCTGTGTCCTGTAGTCTAGTCTCCCTCCATGACCTGGTGTCTGTGTCCTGTAGTCTAGTCTCCCTCCATGGCCTGGTGTCTGTGTCCTGTAGTCTACAGTCTCCTCCATGGCCCTGGTGTCTGTGTCCTGTAGTCTAGTCTCCCTCCATGGCCTGGTGTCTGTGTCCTGTAGTCTACACTCCCTCCATGACCTGGTGTCTGTGTCCTGTAGTCTAGTCTCCCTCCATGGCCTGGTGTCTGTGTCCTGTAGTCTATTCTCCCTCCATGGCCTGGTGGCCGTGTCCTGTAGTCTAGTCTCCCTCCATGACCTGGTGTCTGTGTCCTGTAGTCTAGTCTCCCTCCATGGCCTGGTGTCTGTGTCCTGTAGTCTACACTCCCTCCATGACCTGGTGTCTGTGTCCTGTAGTCTAGTCTCCCTCCATGGCCTGGTGTCTGTGTCCTGTAGTCTATTCTCCCTCCATGGCCTGGTGGCCGTGTCCTGTAGTCTAGTCTCCCTCCATGACCTGGTGTCTGTGTCCTGTAGTCTAGTCTCCCTCCATGACCTGGTGTCTGTGTCCTGTAGTCTACACTCCCTCCATGACCTGGTGTCTGTGTCCTGTAGTCTACACTCCCTCCATGACCTGGTGTCTATGTCCTGTAGTTTACACTCCCTCCATGACCTGGTGTCTGTGTCCTGTAGTCTAGTCTCCCTCCATGACCTGGTGTCTGTGTCCTGTAGTCTACACTCCCTCAGTGACCTGGTGTCTGTGTCCTGTAGTCTACACTCCCTCCATGGCCTGGTGTCTATGTCCTGTAGTCTAGTCTCCCTCCATGGCCTGGTGGCCGTGTCCTGTAGTCTAGTCTCCCTCCATGACCTGGTGTCTGTGTCCTGTAGTCTACACTCCCTCCATGACCTGGTGTCTGTGTCCTGTAGTCTAGTCTCCCTCCATGGCCTGGTGTCTGTGTCCTGTAGTCTATTCTCCCTCCATGGCCTGGTGGCCGTGTCCTGTAGTCTAGTCTCCCTCCATGACCTGGTGTCTGTGTCCTGTAGTCTAGTCTCCCTCCATGGCCTGGTGTCTGTGTCCTGTAGTCTACACTCCCTCCATGGCCTGGTGGCCGTGTCCTGTAGTCTACACTCCCTCCATGACCTGGTGTCTGTGTCCTGTAGTCTACACTCCCTCCATGGCCTGGTGTCTGTGTCCTGTAGTCTAGTCTCCCTCCATGACCTGGTGTTTATGTCCTGTAGTCTACACTCCATCCATGGCCTGGTGTCTGTGTCCTGTAGTCTACACTCCTTCCATGGCCTGGTGTCTATGGCCTGTAGTCTAGTCTCCCTCCATGACTTGGTGTTTATGTCCTGTAGTCTACAGTCCCTCCATGACCTGGTGTCTGTGTCCTGTAGTCTACACTCCTTCCATGGCCTGGTGTCTATGTCCTGTAGTCTACTCTCCCTCCATGACCTGGTGTCTATGTCCTGTAGTCTACACTCCTTCCATGGCCTGGTGTCTGTGTCCTGTAGTCTACTCTCCCTCCATGACCTGGTGTCTGTGTCCTGTAGTCTACACTCCCTCCATGGCCTGGTGGTGTCCTGTAGTCTACACTC